CGTATGTTCTAATTGCATATTCTTTACGTAATATAAATATTTCACTTTTAATTTTATTGTTGTTTAGCTTTTTTATTATCTGCCTTCCGAAAAATTGCCTTATAAACCTTCGAAAAATATCTTCCGGTGATCATATTGAGGCAGTCTGATAAATCTTATAAATGTGCCTAAATTTGCATTATACTTGATTCAACTTGTGGTATTTTTTCACCCTCAATAATTTATGCCTACGTATGCACATGCTCACATTGCCACAATAACCCATCATCGCATTTCTTTCATCCTACAGATATGGGATTGCATCTCATCCCAACTTGTCCAAATTCTCGACACTCGATATATCATTGCATGCGCATCTGTTAACGTTGCCAATTCAAATCAGACGACCCATACTAAGTTCAATCGTTCTGATCTCGGTCACTCGACGGGTGGTATTGTTGTTCTCACACCTCTTGGTATGAATGAGTAAGTGAAATGAGTTTTTTCACCCGAGCACTTTAGATTAATTTCCTTATACTATTACATCAACATCTAAACGCTAATATGTATTTAGATTAATATTTATGCAGCATGGTATGCAATATTTTATTTTTAACGGGTGAGTGATACCCTTACCCCTATGAATGGCATATGACTTTTGGTCTGAGGTCATCTTTCTGAATAAATATGTTTGATCTTACTATCAGATTGAATAATTATCAAAACCATTGTGAGTATATAGGGAACTCCTATCAGTTTTCATCAACGACTCGTCACATCCTATCAGATTCTAGATTGCTTTTATAGCTGAATTTCATATTACAAAAGGAAATTGCTTAAATAGACAACTTGATCGTCAAGTGGCTGAATTTCTCACTTACTTGACAAGTTAAGTCGTTTGCTTTTGCACGGCGGCTGAGCAATCAATCAAGCATAACTTGCTCAACTTTCTACCAGCATTCCTCACATTCAACATGTTCCTTAATCTATTAATTTCAATAGCCTCTCATATTTGCGTTTCGTAGCAGACATACTATAATCAGCAAACCCCTGGGTACGAGACCATTTTATCTCATGTCCAGTCTCCAGCATGTGTTCCACCAGTTCTTACCATTCGAACTAGCTGCTTTTACAAACATTTTCCTACTCCATTAATCTTTGGCGAATCGGCCGTTAGGTCTCACCAACATAAGGTCGACCACAGGAGCACATAATCTTATAGCAGCCAGATCTTGATAAGTGGTTATATTTCGCTCTAAAAGAAGGTATAACCGAAGAAAGTGTCTGAGTTTCTTTGAAAACTGTCTTAATCTTCCACTTCCTCACTCGGTCTCCTAACTTCTTAGAAAGAAAGCATAACCAAAGATTAAAACATGAGTAAAGATCTTAACTTGTCTATCTTTTACCAACTAGTCTCCTTAAAATTTACTCTTACTTAAAGATATATTAATATCAATTAAGCCTAAAGCATAATTATTCTTTAGGAATAAACCTTTCATTCTTCTTGATTCTTTGATCAGAGGATTTTCATCCACAAACCTCATGCTTCTAATAATCATAGATTTTAAAATTCCAGCCTTAGTTTTGTTACTATGATTAGAAAAAAAAATTAAGAACAAATCCATCATATATTTGTCTCCTATAAGCATCTCAGCCTAACTTACCATCTTCCATACTAACTATAACATCCGAGAAAGGTCATTCCCTATTTTATTCTAATTCCATTGTGAATTTAATATTTATTTCACCCCTATTAAGTGAAAATATGATACTGTCATTCCCATCTTGCCATATAACAAAATAATCATTCATATATCTAAAAAAACATTTATGAATCAGGATTACCATTTGCATTAAACGTTTCTTAACCTTAGCTATGTAGTTATTCGCCGAAATTGGAGCTAAGCAAGTCCTTGTGTCTATTCATAAAACTTAGCGCCAAAGGTATTTATTGGAAACCAGCACATGCTAATTTTGTTCTTAATTTTCTTTCCTACCATAATTGGAATTTTAAAATCTATGATTAAGAGTATTAGGCTTGAGGATGAAAATTATTTCACTGAAGAGTTTATAAGACTGATAGGTTTATTCCTAGAGGATAATTATTCTTAGGTCTTAATTTATAATAATATACCTTTAATTAGGAGTAATTTTTTAGGCGAATTCTATTTGGTCAGAGATAGGCAAGCCAAGACCATTTCTCATGCTTTAATCTTGTGTCATGCTTTTTTATAAAATAGGGTACCTAGGGAGGAAGGGGGGGATTAATACAGTTTTCAAAGAAACTCTGACACTTTCTTCGGTTGTACCTTCTTTAAGATCGAAATATGACCCACTATCAAGATCTGACTGTTATAAGATTATCTGTTCCTGTGCTCGGTGTTATGTCGCTCAGACCTGTCGGACGATTCGCCGAAGATTACCAGGGCACATATCGGAGGCTGGTCATGAGATTAGTGAATACGTTGAATGAATGGTGGTAGAAAGTGGAGCAATAATTACTTATGATTAATTGAAGGTAATAGAGTGTTCAGCCGCAGTCTAAAAGAAGACGACTCAACTTGTCAGCTAAGTGATAGTTCCAGCTAAATTAACACTCATTCAACAGGCGTGTCAAGCTTATCAAACAAGACAGACCTGCTGAGCTACGCAATCCTGCCCAAGCTTCTCCTTACGTCATTAAACCTTTATAACCCAGACTAATGGGTTCCAACTGTCGGTTTCATAACCTGACTTTCACGCGTACAGACTTACATTTCTTAAATTTAACCAGGGTTACTTACGGACTAATGCCATCTTTGTTCTTCTTTTTTTCGGGTCACTAAGCCTTGATGAGCCAGGACTGACGCTAAGCCTTTTTCTAATTACTCTGATTTATTACCGGTTTTGCTTACAGACGTTGGCACACACCAAGAAA